GAACAACCCCTTTGCCATTTATATTTTTAATACATAAAAGCAAAGTATAACGAGCCACGATGTTTCCAGGCTTCCAAGAAATAATCCTTTCTCCTTTTAAGCCATAAAGTCTTCGGGGTGCCTCATTTAGATAGAAAGCACATTCATCCTCAGCCAATACTTGGGATGAAGGCAAAATCCTAATGGTATCTACTAAGGGCTTAATCTTGCCTAAAAGTGCTTGCTGCTCTGAATAATGATAGGTTGGTTTTAGATGAGAGATACCATACTTTTTGTATAGGCGACAAACAGTTGAGGCACTAATGGGCTGACCTATCTTTTCAGAGAATACTTCTGCAATTCATTTCTGTGGTTGAGCATTGTAGATAGTGCGACAAGCTTTTAAGAAAGATAGGTCGTAACCTTTGATTTTAGATGGGCGACCAGCTTTCTTTTTCACTTTGTTCACCTCTTCTTTATTCCATCTACGAATAGTTCATTCGCTAACATTGCAGAACTCTCTAATTTCCTGCCAAGAAAAGTTTTTTTCTCGCAATTTCTTTATTTGTCAAGGAGCAAGTGTGGTTATAACTTTTTTTGGTTTAGTCTCTATTTTCTTAACTTCTTTTTCTAATTCTAAAGGTTCTTCAAATTTTACTAATTCATCTTTTTGGAACTTATGAATGTCTTGACTAAACCATTGTAGAGTTTTATTTTGTTGTTCATCTGATAAGAATTTCAATCTACCCGCTATTTCTGGAATATATCTTACTTTTTTATCACTATAAAAGAAGTCTTCTATTCCAGTTTGAGTGTCGAAGAAGTCGTATTTTCAAAGATTGCTATCGATTTGTTTTTGCCCTTGGAGGATTTTAGCAGTGATGATGGTTTCCATAATGTTTAATGATTCTTCTTTGCTTTTCTATATCAGACAAAACCAACTAATCCTATCACAGCAACCCCAACTATTATTAAAACTCATACCCAACCCGAACCACCTTTACCCTTATTCCTTTCAGGATATAAATCTCTTTCGATAGTTTCAATCGTCTCTTTTAACCTTCGTTTGCCTTCTCTTTTCTCTTCCTCAGTTAAATCGTAAAAAAGTGATTGATAGTATTCGGCATTCCTTAGCAATTCTTCTAGTTTAGGTTTAACAGTATTTTCTCATTCAATTTGCACCTCTTTTAAACTGAATTCTCTTATCATCGCTTTTATTTCTAAACGAGTATTAGTTAACTGACATTGAAAACAAAGACCATTCTCGTTTATTAAGACATTACTTTTAAAGCATTGTTTACAAAAACCCTTACGGTATTTATCGTTATTTTTCCAATAATTTACACATGACTTAGTGTAACATTTGCCTTGTGAATTGGCTCATGAACCACAGTGAGGGCATTTATTAGATTGAGAGTTCCGATTTTGTCTCTCTCTCTCTTTCTCTGTTAGGGTCATCATTATTGTTATTATTTCAACTTGAATTTCTCCTGTGATTATCCATAATATCATCGAGATGGCTACGATTATTCTGTCTTATACTACAATCAAAACATAAATCTCTACCTTCTAGCCTTGGATTAGAACATTTAGAACATTGTGTTTTCTTAAAACAAGCTTTATGATAATAAAAAGTTTGAGGGCTAAAAGCATCAGGCATAGTTTCGCTGACACGTTCTTCTCCTGCTTTTATTAGCTTTTTACACTCTTGGCAAGTAGGATAATTGTTGCTATTCTGCTGTTCTTTTTCTATTTCAGCCCAGCAACTTTTATGATAAGTTCCTGCTTTAGGATTGTTGGATACTTCAAAATATTCTTCTCCATTTTTGAAGATTTGATTACATTTTTTACATTTAATTTTATTTTCTGACATATTTACTTTTGTATCTTTGCTTGACTTTCTATAGTTTCTCAATTTCACATAATATTTTCAACACTTTCATTTAACCAATTGATTATACCAC